AGTGGTAAACAGGACACGGATCGTTATCAAGTCTACAAATCCTCGTGGGAGCGAGACGCGGGCAAACCGTTCTGTGGAAATAGGACGGCTACAAGACAGGGCTGCATCTCGGGACTTTGGAGAGGGAGTCGGACAAACAGCCATTAAATCGTGTAAGAAAACAAAGCCAAATAGTATAGCAAATTAGTATTATCTGAATACAATAAGGAAGTAATTACATGACCTATGGACCAATACTAAATTTCCCTAATCATTTGGGGTCTCAAGGAGGTGCAGGAGATAAGCATGTAATTATTTTTATGTACTGTGACTTCATATACTATTGTCGTTAGGGGCTTAGGGGCCCAGTGTAAGGGATCACCCCTACCTCCCCTAATTTTGCATGGGTTTTTCTTCCCTCTACCCTTTCCTATTCCTTCTCTTCTGCTTCCTCTTCTGTCCACATCCGGAAGTGAGAGCCGTGCTGTAGAAGGATGAAAGGCTTGATCGTCTCTTGAACAACCTTCGTACTCCGTTTGCTCTCCCCTCTTTACCATTTTCATTACCATGATAACCTATGGCGCTGCATAACATTTGACATTTAACATATTTTGTCCTAGAAAATCGTTAACTCCTTTTTAACCTTTTCGCCACGATACTTATCCTAGTGCTGTATGACCTTCCCTTACCTGGGGGGGGGGGGGTCTCCAAGCCTCACTCTATCGCTAAATCTTGAGTTCGCCACTAATGACCTCAGATGTTGACGCGGCAGAAAAAATTCAATGCATAAATAAATGAACCGTATCCATGTTGACAAATGTAGAAAAGGTATGAATGAGACTGGATATCTTCACAATACAAGAGATGTATTTGACCGGTTTCGATTACGTCTTCGTCAGAAATACATGTATTTCTGATGAAGACGTAATCGAAACCGGTCAAATACATCTCTTGTATTGTGAGGATATCCAGCCCCATTCATACCTTTTCTGCATAAATAAATGTATCAAAATAATTAGCCAAAAGCCAATGTGCTAAATACTCTATTACGAATAGGGAAACCATAGCCATGAGCAAGATTTTAGAAGATATTCAAGAATGAGCGTAACCACCTTTATGCTTTACTAGGAAAAGCAGTCATATATAATGAAAAAAACAAAATAAACATAGGAAACCGTAGAACAGCTTGCCCGCCGACCAGCGCCCTCTCGCCAGGACCGACCTTAACCCGAAACCAGTGAAAGTCGGTTTCCGGTAATTGCAGTCATATAATGTCATGCTGGCAGAGGAAATCATTATTATGCCGAGGATAGAAAGAAGATTTCGCGACCGTCCGTATAAGTTCTACCCACGCGAGCGGTTGTGAGCGAGGGCGTGAGGGCGTGCGCGAGATGACGTCACAAACGGCCAAACGACTCGGTAGTTTCCCGTTGTTACCTGGCTTGTGACGTCACCTTTCCAGACGACCGCAGCGTGGACGGGCCTCAAAAGATCTTCAGAGTTAAAAAACAAATAGAAATTTGTTCAAATCGTAATGAAAAGCTAAAGCCATCTATAAATATTGGTTGAAGTGGCAACTTGAATATCAATAAACTGTTTTCGATTGAACACTGAGTAATAAAAATGCAATATATAACACTGAATAATAAAGGAAAGTCTTTAACCTAGTATAATGGATAATAGGTCTACCACATGGACCCACTGCATGTACCTATTTACTTATTCATTCCCCCAATCCCTTGATGGTTGTTGTCGTGGGGAGATTGGGGGGGGGGGGGGAGGGGATTGGAGACGGAGACTGAGGCCCAGTGAAGGGGATCGCCCTGCCTTGGACCTCAGCCCAGGGATGGACGCTTATCCGTAGCAGCATTTCGAAGCATTAGATGATACAAGAAACCGTTATAAATAATATTTCTATTTCTAAATAATTTCTAATAATAATGATTTCTAAGCATTAGATGATACAAGGAAACAGTTATGAATAATATTTCTATTTCTAAATAATTTCTAATAATAATGATTTTAAGTATTTTGATGATACAGGAAATAGTTATAAATAATATTTCTAATATTTTAAATAAATAATTTCTCATAATAATGATTTCTAAGCATTAGGTGATACAGGAAACATAAATAATATTTCTATATAATTTCTAATAGTAATGATTTTTAAGTATTAGATGATACAGGAAACAGTTATAAATATTTCTAATATTTCTAAATAATTTCTCATAATAATGATTTCTAAGCATTAGATGATACAGAAACAGTTATAAATAATATTTCTAATATTTCTAAACAATTTCTAATAATAATGATTTCTAAGTATTAGATGACAGGAAACAGTTATAAAAATTTCTAATATTTCTAAATAATTTCTCATAATAATGATTTCTAAGCATTAGATGATACAAGGAAACAGTTATAAATAATATTTCTAATATTTCTAAATAATTTCTAATAATAATGATTTCTAAGTATTAGATGATACAGAAAACCGATATGAATAATAAAATTGAAC